ATAGCAGAAATGTGCAATAAAAATTAATGAAAGGCTTATGTAAATGCTTCCCCCGGTAATTGCGGGCGGACATTTGGGCAAGAAAAGCACGGCGAAAACGAGCGTTTCTGCCATTTTCATTTTCGGACCCTGGAAATGTGTTTTCCTAATTAGCTATTCTGAAAGGAACAATTTCTATTTTTATGCCAGTCACATGCCCGCCTAAATGGGCTAACAAAATGGTGCAAGGGGTGATGATCATCGGGAATCTTAATTATTTTTAGAAGTGCCACCATAAATCTTTGGCAACAAAAGGGCTGAGTTGAGTTTAGTTTTTCCCCTTTAAAGGTATTTATTTGTCTTTCGTTGGTTTCCATTTGAGGGAGTCTTCAAGGAATTTTAAAATCAGTGCCTTTGTGTGTTGTTTTAAATTAATTTAGATAATTGCAGGGAATTTTTAGTAATTCCACCAAGTTGTAAGTGGATTAAATATGAATTTGTGTGGTGAATTAATGTTTGCTCTCAAAGTCTACTCGCCTTTTAAATACTCTGGATTTCTTGCTAAGCCATTCCAATTAAAATCCAATCGAGGAGCACATCTGCAGGTGATTAGGCGGAGCATCGCGGCCAGTTGGCTCCGTTCCATTACCGATCCGATCCGATCCAGTGCCTCCACCGCTGCGGCTTGCCGGCAATTGGTGGACGTTGCCTTCATGGACAAGTGCATGTGGCATTGGCATTGGACTGGAACAGAGACGGGGATACACCTCCACTTGAGCCAGTTGCTCATTACACTCGACTGGATAATTACGGGCATTTCAATAAACAAGCCCAGGAGTCGTGTGCTCGAACATGGCTCGAGCTGTGCCCGGGCATTATGAACTGTTTCCGAACGGCGCGCACATAATACCATATTTCAAATTTCAATTAAGTCCAAGTGCTGAGAGAGCGGTCCCCCTTCGATTTCCTCCGACATCGGGTATATATCAAGGCCCCACCAATCGGAAAATTCGTTTCCTATTTGACTTTTGACTTCTCGAAATATAAACATTTCGTTTTATGGCTATCGATCGATTTATATCGATTTCGGCCTAAAAGGGACTCAAGTGCAGTTCTCCACTTGGCCCGGTGCATCATTGCCAAATCCCCTCGAGAGCGATAGATGGCCGCGGCTATATCCCAGGTCTCTGCCCCAACGAATTAGATTTTAATTAAAAACTAGTTTTCGCCCGGCATTTGAAATGAGCTGCGCCGGCTGGGATATTTTTTTAATAAACCATAAAAATGTTTCTAAAGTGTCACACACAAAATTTGGGCTGTCACATAAATTCCGATGCCTTAAAACAAATTCCAGCGATTAAAATCTGAAAATGGACAACTCTCTGACCACCTTGGACCGGGCCTCTTGGAGGCCCGTAGGCCCGATTGAAAAACCCGAACCGACGAGAACTGGAGTCTTTGGGGGCTGAGTGGTTTTTGGGTTCGCATTCGGTATCTGTCGGATACAGATAGCGGCCATGGCGTAGATTACATTAGGGGCGAACGGCAAAGAGCATTTTGGAATAACAACAAGCTCGGGAATCCAGAAAGAAAACAAAGAAAGCGCTGTTCAAATTTACATTCCTCTCGGAAAGAGTTTCTGGCCGGGATTGGGGGTAGTCCCTGTTGACTTAGGCGGATCCCCGGCTTGGCTCAAACAATATTTTGCATATTCCATCGATTTTTCGACTCCAAAAATGAGTGCGCATAATGAGCGTGCGAGCGAGATGGCGCAGAGAGAGAGAGAAGGCATTTTCTGGGTGTGTCCCCAGGCAAGCGAGATGGGGAGACACATAGAGAAAGAGAGAGGAAGCTCGTCGCCAAAGAGGATAATTTAGTTTCGATTCCACATCATATCCATGTCCCCGCCGCAATTCAAGTCGCTTTTCTAGCGAATCTAAGGCTCCGCCGCATAAATCTCGTTAATTTATGAAGGATGCGTGCGAAATGCCAACAAACTAACTCGCCCACGCAGCACATAGCCGAGGCCGAGCCTCGGAGCCACCGAGTCGCAGATCCGTGGAACCACTCTGCACCACAAACTTCCAGCCCCACGTCCTCCTCCTGCACCCAAACTCCACTTGGCGGCTCCACTGTCACGCGAGTGAATGTTCTGCATATCAAACTTGCGACTCGGGACTCGCTGCACAGAGAAAAAATAATGTTACCCTTCAGAAGCTAGGGAAAATTAAGGAAGAATTATAAACAACAATATGGAACAACTTAACTTTAACATGAAACTGATCTTGTAAAAGTATTTCCATTTCCTCCAGTGTATAAATGCACGTCCAAGTCTCTAATCCAATTCGAAATCCACCTTCCCGACCATGTTTTGTTCTCCATTGGGCCCCCCGACCGACCCCGTTGTCTCGCTGACATCTCTCGATTTATTTAACTGTCCATTTGTGTCGCACTTGGACTAACGATTTTCTAGCCAAGTCCGCGTTCGGTGCGCAAATTTATTTGACTTGCCCGACATTCCGGCGATCATCGGTCGGGCGTGGACAATTTATGCAAATGCCCGGCATATTGATATTGTTATGCCTTTGTAATGGAAATGCCTGCAATTACCACTTGAGAAGCTCCATTGTGAACTGGCGCTGCGAAGAGCAATTAACGCAAATTAGTTCGTTGAGTTTTCCTCTTTCGAGTAGGAAAACTAAAGAAGAAACACCCAGGGGAAAATGCGATTATAGAGTCAAGTGGTTTAATTAATACAAAGTGTGTGCTTAGCCCTTTATTAGATAATTATTTAATGCAAGGTGATCAAGGTAAACGAAAAACCTAAGATTAATTAAGTTTTCATAGATGTAATGATTTTCTTTAATGGTATTCACTTAGTATAAGTTTCTGAATTAAGAGGATAGTATTAACACGATGATTTAAAATTCGATCTTAAGAAAATGGAAATTATTCCTTTTTTTTCTTGTTGCAATCAAAGTTGACTTATGGCTTTCTAACGTCTGGTATTTCTTAATAAATAAGTCAAAAATAATGTATATTTCCCCGCTGTTTTGTTGATCGTTAGGCCCCATTATCACCATCATTATTCAGCTGCTCTGTGCAGTAAATAATAATAATTACCGGGCGTAACGAGCTCGTATGCGGGTGCAAATGTCATTGATTACTTTTAATGAGCGATTATTATTTATATAGATGGGTGTTTTTGTGCCTTCCTCCAACCGAGATAGACCTGCTAGCGACTGCGCTCCGTCCACAAATGAAATGAAGTCATAAAATTATTTAAATCTTTATTTAAGTGACAATAAAGCACATTATGTACATTTAATGATAAGCGTCCATTGCAGATTACGATTTGAGGCGGTGATTTCGAGTCGTTTTTCAGTGCGACTTGAAAAATATGTATAGCGAGTATTGGAATTAGCCCCTGTATTGCATTATATACGACACTGATAAAAAATAATTTAGTATACTGCTTTTGGGCATTGGCACGTGATCTGCACCTGTCATCCCAAAAATTGCTTATTGCAAAGGCTTTTAGTGTACGCCTTTATAATTTATTTAATATGCTGAATGTTTCTCGATCGGATTACAAGTTTTTAGAGTGCTTTTAGCCGGGCTAAAGTGACGCAGGTGCGGCTAATGCACGGAGTTAATCAGTGGTCAGTAGGGTCACTCAAGCAGGAGAAACGAGATTTATCTTTTGACCATTAATAAATACAATTAAAAAAAAATTAGATTTCCTAAGAGATTTAAAGCAATTTATTCCTAAAAAAAAACTTATTTATTTTAGAAAAAAAACTGAGAACTGAAGAATACCTTTTTAAAATACTTAAAACCCATTTCTCCTACATTTCCTTGTCATTTTATGTGTTATATTATTTTTGGAATAATATTTCAAACATTAAGATATATTTTCTACATCTACATCTTACTTGACTTTGGTTAATTTAAAAATACCATAAATACAATAATCCTAAAATAAGGAAAAATGAACTTAAATTTCAATGAAATATAATAATAAATATGATTATTTACATCCCAATATTCCGGATATCTATCAGAAGTGCATCGCCCTAGTGTATTGCGACATCGTCGACTGTTTTCTTGCTTTTTGTGTGTCCCGAGATCCCCAATAAAAATGCGTGATTACGAGCATTTAATGCAATATATTAATTACTTCGCCTTCGCACAGCGATTCCGAGTCCGAATCTGATGGCGATTCCGATGTCTCTTGGACCGCCCCCCGATTAAAAACTGGAATAACGTCTTTGTCAGCGTCTTCTCGGAGGTGGATTCCACCGGATTCAGTGGGGGCTCCGGCTGCGGCTCCGCCAATGACGGGCCTGAACTCTGCTCCTCCGACATTCGTTAGCCAATTTACGAGCGACTAATGGCCGTAACGCACACACTTTATGGCCTCATCCACAATCGAATCGCAATGAGAACTGCACAAATCGTGCAATTTCTGGGACAGTGCAGCGGTCACCGTGAAATCATATTTATTCGGTCACCGTTTGTAGGGGGTGTCCATTTTCGACCGCGGCAGTTGCCAAATTAAATTATAAAATCGGGACCCACAAAAGCGCAGAACAAAGCCAGGCCTCGTAAAGTTTTACGCATATTTTTCGTGAACAATTCCCATTTAATGGGGGACTCCAAGCCCGGTCTCCGCGAAAGTCCGACGGCTCCGGACTTATGGCCATGTTAATGGCTTTTTAAAGCGATTATGCGAGAAATTTTAATGGATTGCCCCTGAATAATGATCGATTCATGCACCAGAGCCGCTGGACGGGATTAAATCATTATGCAATTAGGTTTTTTCGTGTTTTGGCTTAGACAAAACACTTTAACGACTTCGGTGGCTTGGCGCGCCCATAAAGCGAATTTATTTAAAACGCTGTCTGATTTATGCTTCTTTGATTTAATCTGCCGCTTGGACTCCCCAGCTCAAAATCATATTCGTTTTCGAATTAATATCACTGGCGATAAAAGGCAAATATTTAAATTTGTATACCAACCCTTTGTTTGTGCCCGGGGACCATCTTCGCCGGTCTCGCGGTGAGGTGTAGTTTTTATAGGCGTAATCCACAAATGTTATAAAAACACACACAAACACACGCGAAGACACAGACCTGAAAATAGAAGAGAGGGGGAATTTTGTTTAGTTATGGTTTTATTTTTAGACAAATAATTGGTAAAATGTTAATTTTGGATTTGACTTTAATTGAAAATCCGCCCTCAGACGGAAATATGTAAATATTTTGGTGTGTTTGGAAGTTATCCTATTCAGTCTTTGATTGATTTAAATATTTAAGTTGAAATTTAGTCTAATTAATTAATTGAAAAATTATCTTTGATTTCAGCGTAAAATTAATTACTTTTAGATTATGACCATGTTAAGAAAAAACCATAAATTTACTGCAAATCATTAAAATATAAGAAAAACAAAATGTATTTATACGTTTAGTTACTTTTATTTAAATCTTAAAGCCCTCTTTTTCTATATAATCTTTCAAAAGACTGCAACTTTCTTATCCTAAATTTCAGTTTACAAAATTTTTATAGTGTACGGATTTTTCTAGCCACTAAAATATTTTAATATTTCAATTGCTGACCTCCAAATACCTCTTTTAATGGCTGCAAACGTTCCAATTGCCTTTCCTACATATCCCCACAATTAATAATTTATACTCCGTTCCGCTTGAGGGAAAGCTGCCCTGGAAAATAATTTAAATTTTGTGATTTCAATTTGAAAACTGCTGGCTTGCCGCCCGACCAGGGATCCCATTTTGGTGGCAACTAATTGAACCCAATTCGAGTGGAGCAGCTGCCGTAGGGTCGTCAGGTGTGCAGAACGACAATTCCCCAGTTGAAATTCGTATTTTCCACTTTAATAAAAAAAAACAGACAGAAAGGCGGAAATGTTGAGTTTGGAAAATCAATTCCGACAGTGTGTTGCAGGTTCAGGAGAGCTGGAACTGCCTTTCCCGCATTCGCTGCGAGTGAAACTCAAACCGGCAGCGTCGTTTGAGCGAAAACGGGGAACGAGTTCTCCCCGGCGAGCGCTTCAAATATCTTTCCTTTTCTCCCGGACTCCTCTTGTTGAGGCTTCGTTGCTGTGGAGCCCCAAGATTCCGGCACACATTCCGCGAAAGTCTCCAACGCTGACCAACGCTGCTGCTGCAGTCGCCGCCACCGCCGCCGTTGCGGTCGCTGTCTGCGTCGCCGTCGCCGCTGACGCCTGCGCTGCGCTGCTCTCGCTGGCTACGTCGTTCTCGCTCCCACCAAAATGGCCGCTCTAGTGGGGTCTCGCTCGCCCTGCTGGCAGCTTATCGAGCGTGTGAGTAGATCAGCGCAAGCCAGCGGCCATGTGCGCAACAGGGCGCACACTATGGCACACGGTACGGTGCTCCCCAGTGCCACGCCCATGCGCCCCCACAAAAGCGCGCGCGGGCTAAGAAAAAGCGTCGACAGTTGGGCGGCGGCGGTCCGCTTGCACCGCTTATCGCCGGCGTTTGCCGACGCGATTGCCGCTGGCATTGTTATTGTTGTTGCTGGTTTAGCTAAGGTTGCTGTTTCCAAAGTTGCTTGCTGTTTTAAAAGTTGCTTCTTAAAGATGTTGCTGCTGTTTTGATGTTGCTTTTGCGACTGATGTTTTGTTTGTTGTTGTTGCTGCTCTGCTGGTTCTAAAGATGCTTTTGTTGCTACCGAATCGGATTCAGAATTTGCCGCTTTTGTTGCACAAACTTTAGCTGTTGTTGCTGAAGTGCCCAGATGTTGCAGTTGTTAAAGTTAGTGGCTCTAATTATAGATATTTAGCTACCTTTTTCCTAACTCTTTTTTGGAATCGTTTCTGTATTTTAAATATGCTGCTAAGAAGTTGTTTCAGTTCATTTTTGATAATATTATTGCTGCTGACACTTTAGTTAGGATGCTAAAACTAGTTTTAGACTGTAACATTACTGATGACCTTGCTGATATTATTGCTATTGGATTTAGAATTGTTCCTTTTATGGCATTTTACATTTTAGTTTTCAATATCAATGGTTCCCATGTCCAGTCGCTTTTTGCTGACTAACGAAACTAACTAATAAAAGCTTTAATCATAAAAAATTTTTAAGATTTCATCTTAAAATAAGTAATATAGCTGAGACCTTTAATATATCTGTTCTAATTAAATTATTCTCTTAGCAATGTTGATAGTACTACCATTGATAGCTACAACAATGCAACATTCTATTGATGTTTGCTGACCTTTCTGATAGTTCTGTACTGTGATGCTTAAGCTTATTATAGCAAATGTTCCTTCTTTAACCAAACTTGCCACCGTTGCACTTGTGGCTTTTTTTATGGATGCTGCTGCTGTGCCTCAAGTTGTGGCTGCTGCAGCTGTGTCCGATGTCGCTGTCGTATCTGTTATCAATTCTAATGCCTGGGGAGCTGGCAGCGCACTTAGCCGGGCGCTTGGCAATTTCCAGTTGATTGGCTGCACTTTTCGAGATTTTCGATATCCCAGGACGAGGGAATTTGCATGCAGAAGCGAATGGCTTGAGGGGGGCTCCATTCTACTCAGAGTTTCCGTTTCGCCTGCAAGGACACTTGAGAGCCGAGAACAGCTGCAACTTGGCCATCTCCGCCAGTTGGCCGTATGGTGCAAATGGCTGTGGCTCTGCGATGCGAAAAGTGAAAATGCAGTTTCGCATAATTTGATCCCTCCCCAACCCCCGGGAAAATCGCTCTCTCTGTCTGCCGTCTATCTGCTGCTGCGGCTGATGGTCCTGAATGCTGTGTGTCCCTAGATCCTAGCTCTGCGAGCATCCTGCGAGTCCTGGTGGCAAGACAATGCCCGTTCTAATCGCAATCATGGCTGCACTGTAATGGCAAAATGCCAGGAGCCTCGCCTCACCTCTGCGCTCCGCTCAGCTCTCGCATTTCTGCTTCGGTGGTTGTCCTTCGCTTGAATTGCACTTTTTTATGGCATTGCAATTAGGGGTAAGCGCATCGATGCACACTCACACTCTTACAAAGAGAGAGAGAGATACTAGGGGTGCAAAGGCAGCGCAGGCCAAGGGTTGTTAATTATCTACCGAAGGGAGAAAGAGTGGGCACCCATACCGAGGCGACAATTATCTGAGAATTCCATATTGCCGCTTCCCGGGAATGCTAAACAAATAGTTTCTGCAATTTATCCTTGTCCAAGGGTTTGGATGTCCTTTACTTGAGGATATCTTTGTACTTATTTGCATGAATTTGCAGTTAGACTTTGCGAGAAATCAGAATTTAAAAGAAAGTTTTAGGGATAATACTTTTTGTAAGATCATTATCTTGATTGAATTTTGAAATATCTTCCTTTGTTGGCGGATTTTAAACGAATCACGAGAAGATACTTCCTTTCGTAATATTATAACCTCTTGAAATCATATGAAAGAATTATATAGTGTGTCATTTACAGGCACGATAATTCCATTATAAACCTCAATAGTATTTACAAGCAACTAAAGTTTAAAGCCTTCCCACAAAATGCCTTTAAACTACTCAGTAACAATTTTTTAATACATTCCGTGTGCAAAAAGTGTATTACCAACAAACGATTTATTAAATGGGGAAGCCTACAATAAAATCTGAATGTTCCAGGGCGAAACCAATCCGAGTCTTATTCAGAAAGTCAAGGAGGAAGGTGAAGGGGCGGGACTGGAATGGGATATATAGTACATATATCTGGGGTCGACACTGGTCCATTGTCGTTGTATTTGCGCATTGTGCAGAAAAGTCGTAAAAATTTCTGCTGTCTACGTTCGAAATGAATGGAAAAATGAGAAAAGGCCGCGCCGATGCTATGCTTTTCTCCGTTCCGAGTTACCAGGCAGCGGAGAGGAGTTCTTGTAAAGTTTACGAGCGCAAATATAATTCAAATGGTCGTTAATTGCAACAACAACGATGGGCCGAAAGTGCCTCATAAATGGATTGGATACCCCTCGGAAATCGGCGTGAGTGGGTGGGGTTATGTACACACAGAGATATAGCCCCGAAAAAAGCTAAAGTCAGAGCAGCTGGGTTTCCGCCGAGAGCTTTTCGTGTTTGTTTGCAGAGCGAGGAAAGGGAAAAGCACAACAAACTCGGGCAGCACGTGGTGGGGATATTTCTCGGCGAACTGTGTTTCAAGTATTTCGAAATTTCCCAAACTCGATTCGATGCGATTCGGTTCGGTTTGGATTTCTTCCTCCCGGCGACTGGGTAACTGGCTTGCCCGAAAAAAAAGTACCAAAGCGGTTAGATTTTTGGTGTTGAGGGAAATTTCAGCTTGCGCATGTACGGGGCACGCACACACGGACAGGAAACCCCTCACAGATACGCCGTACGTGCGCTCACACAGATACTCGGCGGGCTATCCGTGAGATACGCACAGATACAGATACTCGGCACTGCCGGCGTCGCTGCCGGCGGCGCAGTCGTCGCATTGGGATTTTGAAAGACCGAAGAAATCGTCGGCCAACGGCTTCAAATGAACGCAAAACGTTGGAAAGCAAACAACCGCAAAAAAGCCATCAGCTAAAAATAAAACTGCAACTCCAGCGGTGTTTGGCCATCTAGCCCATAGAACAGTGCTCGCTAATCGTGTGTCTATATGTATTTGTGTATCTCGTGTGTGATTAATCTCGCTGGGAGTCCGAAATGAAAAGTTCAGAGGCAGAAAGTTCCGAAAGCGCAGCGTGAAACAGGTTTGCATTTGCTGGCTGTGACTGCAGCCGGAGTTCACACGTGTGCTTCGCCCCGAGTATCTGTGTGAGAGCGCGCCTGCAGCCGCAAACTGGTTTCCAGATCAATCTCAAGTATCTCGTGTCTCTCTATCTCTATTTGCAGATCTCGCCGGACGCCTTAACGCCGCCATAAACACCAAATAACGAATTCTCGGCGACCTCCTCTGCATTTGGCGTGGCCAGCAAACAAATGTCGCATGTCAAGGTCTTGTTAAAACGTGGAAAATCCATCCATCCGTCCGCCCGAAGAGTCAACACGAGTGGCACGACTTTTTCAGCTGTCCCAAAAGCAAAGTTGCCCCCGAAAAAAATAGCGTAGTCTGTGTGCTTGAGTGTGTGCGTGCCATTGACATTGACTTATGCTTAATAGGGGGACTCGCAGAGGGGGTAAGGGTATCCACCCTTTGACGAAAAAACTTTGTTTTGTCGCTTTGCCAGCTCTGCTTTTGCCTCGTTTCTCTTCGCTTTCTGCCTTCCACGCACATTTATGGTTTGTTTTGCTCACACACAACCAAAGAACACAAGAAAGAGAGGGCCGTAGGCGGGAAGAAAGAGACAGAGGGATAGAGAATGAGAGAGATGGAGCAGCTCAGTCGTCTGCGATGATAAACGCCTCCTTGCCTTTTTTGGCGGGTCGGTCCATGAATGAAAAAATTGCCCCGAATGACTGACTGCCAGACAGATAGCTACAAAATGCCCATTTCGGGGGTTACCAGCGGGGGTTGCTGCGGTGGGCAGGGGGGCCAAGGGGGGCCGGAAAGCCGACAGCAATAAACACCGAGCTACGACAAAAGTCTGATGAGGCAGACAATCATGAAGTTCATCATGAGGCACGCGTTGATGAAAATGAAAATGGTTTTCATTTCGGGTTCGTTGCCGTTGCCGGTGCCGGCTTCTCTTCCAGCCTCAGTTTGCATTCAGTGGGGCAGGTTATTTATGGCACTTCTCCCGAACGCCACACTGGGGTAATCGATTTTTATTGGATTAATATTGCCTTCCGCCTGACTTGTCACTCTTTTCTGCTCTTCGTTATCTCTTTCGTAGGTTTTCACACTGAAGTATGACGGGTCTGGACCAAGTGCTGGTGAGTTTTTAATGTCTTTCTTAGAACCAAAGAACTGTAGTGCTAAGCTTATCAACAAATGCAACTATAAATAGCTGTATTTAGACTAAAGAAGTATGTTTTATAAATATATATGGATTTCACTTATTTAAAGAGTTATTTTTTAGTTGAAATATATTTTAAATATGGTCAAGAATTAAAAGGAGAGCTTTTTTACAATATCTTTTAGTAGTTTACACTCAGATTACGCTTACATAAGATCTATGTTGGGCTATATATAGTTGTATATTTGTATTGACCAACTATTTCCCTTTGAAAAATGACCATATGCCCAGCCAGAGTGTTCCAAGAACTTCTCTAGTCCACACCTCCTGAAAAGCCCTTTGCAAATATTCCCACGGCGCACGCGGCGTATGCGCAATTTGTCTGCGCATCGAACGACCGGTCGGTCGGCCAGAAATCGGTCAAACTGCCACCTGGCTACTTATTAGCGGCACTAAATCAAACCGGCCTGCAGGGACAGACAGATTTTACGAGCGGTGCGCCAGTTACAAGCTGCATTTTTCACATGCGTATAAATCAATCAAATGGCCCTACTCCGGGTCGAAATTCGAACCCGAAAAAAAGAAGAGATGCAGAGGTCGTTCTGTGAACTCTGAGATCAGTTACGAAAACTGCAACGAAGGCAATGGACGGCCAGACGACAGCCATAAAGTTTAGTTTTACGACTGCCAAACGCATAATTACGAATTTTCCTCTCACCTACACGAGCGCGTTGTTAGGGGCGGTTTTTCGGCTAGAAACACACACACACACACATAGACATATGAGGACCCACCCCACTGAGGGGAGCGATGCTGCAAAATGGCAAACAACCCGCTTGATTTTTACTCCATTTATCCGAATTTTGATTGCGATATTTGGGATTGTCTTGCGATGCGAACAGATGCAGGCGTGAAGCGTCCATAGGTGGCACACATGTGACACGAAAACAGGCAGACCTCGCTTTAGTAAATCAAGAAGTTTTGAAGGAAAGTTTAACAGAAGTTTTTACCTTTTTAATTAAGTAGAAAAAGCAAAGAACTTCAGACATTTAAGATTATATAAACAGTCCATTTAACATAAATTCTTGTTGAGATTTTTGTTATGTTTTAATTCGTTTAATGTCTACTAAAAACAATACATTGTTTGTTTTGATAAAAAATAAGTCTTATAAATTTGTAACATAACAAATTCCTACAGAATTACTTTAATTTTAAATTGTCTCGTAAAACACTCTAAAAAATTGACCTTGGTATTCACTGTACCACAAAAATCCAGCCAGACAATATGGCGTTGCCTGACTTCGCTTTGCAAATTATCAAGAATTATTTTTGCTGATGTCAGGGGTTGTTATTTGATTATTTCGAACGATGTTTCACCAGCACCCTGAGGGATGCCATGGGAATGCCGAGAATTTACATGTGTGGCTAACGCCCCAGACATTAAGTTTAATGCCTTCACCGGTCGGTCGTTCGGTCTGGGCTGGCCTTGTGAGTTATCAAATCATCGGCCCAAGTCTCGATCTCAGACTCAGACTTGGAATGCTTAATTTTGCGGCAGGCAGACACTCTAATTTGGCCATTCAAATTGCAGCTCAGACAGGGCAAAGAGGTCACCATTGGGGGCAGCTGCTCCTCGGAGCATAAATTGCACACTAATTGTGTCCATTCCGGGGCGTCGCTTTTGTTTTCTGCCACCCGAGGCCATTAGTCGATTTAATAAAATAAAATCGACTAAAACACAGCGGCGAACTCTGTGCGCAAGTGTCGTGGCCATCTTCAACCTCCAGATCCAAGTCCAAGTCCCACTTCCAATTCCAGTCTCGCTTTCTGTTTCTGTCTCTGGCATTCACTTCTCTCGTGCCATCCCCCCTCTCCAGGCCCATCTACATCTCCACCTCCATCTCCATCCCAATCCCAGCCAGAACTCAGCTCTGTCGCCATCGCCATCGTCTCGTGTTTAGTTTGGGTGTGAAATCTAATTTGAAAAGTTTGTGTAGTCATTTTGATGCCGGAGCGCACTCAGCAGCATATGCTACCCACCGCTCGCTCGGGTTTTCTTTTCTAATTTTGTTTGCAAGTCATTGACGCAATATTGCCCAGCTCCCAGTTTCCAGTTCCCAGCTCCGAGCTCCTCGAAACCCCAAAGGCCTCCTCATCCTTCCTCGATTCGCAGCAGTTCTGTCCACCGGCTGCGACCCGAAAATTCTATAAGAACCGCACCGAGCACATTTGCCAGACACTGAACGTGGGTATTCAGAAATTTAAATTAGAATTCATAATAAATAGTTGCAATACGGGCTTATGAGCACATAAAAAGGCCTTTGCTGCAGGGTAATGGTTTTATTAGGAATTTAATCTCAATATAACTACAACTGGAAGAAATCTGCATACTAAATTTAACTATTAACTATTTCCCAAATATTTTATAAATTCATCTGTTCATTCCTTTAATTAAAAACACATGTTGGTTATTTTTATATCAACTTTTTAATACTAAAAGTCTCTTCATTATTTTTCCGACTTAAAGTTCCTTTTTTTGTGTGCTCAGCAAAGTCAATTCGAGGTGAAAGAAATTTGGAAACTAAATTAAACTTCAATTCCTGAGACATAATCCCCAATGGGCGATAAAGAAATATATCCACGGAGAGGAAAGAATGAAATGGAACTGAGCAGAATAATTGGGAAGACAGAAAAAAGGTGGAAAAAAAAGATGGAAACTCATTTGGAAACTACGCCCCAGAGGTGGCGAGTGTGGCGAATGCGAATGCTCCCTCAAAAGTTTAGAATTGTGCAGGGTCCTTGGGCTGTCTCGAGGGGTGTGGTTTTCGGTTTGGGATGCCAAGCGTGGAAACAATCAACTGAAAGCGTTGATGGTGACGACTGCTCCTTTTTTGTGGTCCAGGGCAGGTGAGAGGAGTGAGAGTGGGAGTGGGTTTCTCTGTGGAATGCGTCTGCTGGCAACAATGGCGCAATGGCGTCTGTAATTCCGAGCAATTGTTTCCGTTCTCAAAGGAGAACGCCTTTGTCTGTCCCAGCCAACGAAGCGTGCATCCAACGCTTTGACACCACATGCCGCAAAGGACTCATCTGCAGGCTCCAGCCAGCGTTTAACACCTTTTGCTCTTGCTTGGCAACGATTTGCCATAAAGTCACGTACCGCCAAATCGAAATATATTTTGCAAACCACGCCAGGATTTCTAGTGATGGCCGAGCGAGCATCCCTCACATGCCTCGTTGGCTCGCCAAATGGTCGCACCTTCTCGGGGGGGAACAGCCCCCAAAAGACAGAGAACAACCTGAGATCCTGGGACATCCAAGTCCGCCCTCGGTGCTCGTTAGGCGGTACAGTACATTACACTGTCCTGCCTCGTCCGTCCACTGGGAGTCGCCGCCGTTTTGCATCGGAATTTGCTTTGCCAAATGCCGCCATTTAGGGTTGTGCCAATAAAAAAATGATATTTATGGTTGTAACGGCCGTTTTGTGTGTACGCCCTCCCCCGCCCTTAACGGCATCCGCCCCGAAAGTCTGACAAGCCCATCCGAAAGACATACAAACACCGGCCTAGGCACAGTGGGATCAAGTCTTAAATTTTTTAATAGAAAGCTTAGGATTTTGTAGAATATGAAAGAAAATTAATAGAGGTTGTCTTTGAAGGTGGAAATTATGAAGAAACTTTCAATGTTTATTTTATATATTTAATTCATTGAAAGTAATCCAATAAAAACACAAGATAAATCATTTTATATCATCAGATTCAGTTTATTTAAAAAATCATATTAGATATTTTAAAATACATAATTGAAGTAATAATATAAGCAATAATATGCAGTAATCTTTTACAAAAATTAAATTTATAATCTATTTTAAATAATTCATAAAGATAAAAGAAATAAAAACTAAGAAGAGCTTACAATATTAATATTTTCACTTTTAACCTTTGGCTAAATATTTTATATATTTATTATATATTTTTGGTAAATATAAAATTAATATTATCAATAATTTATAATTAAAAGTAAGTCCAGAGATGTTTATTTCAACCTGAAACCCCTTTTGTGGCCCACTGTTCCGTGGGGGTTGCCTCGGCGCACAAATGAAATCTCACAGGCATAACGAGCTCATGACTCTTTGCTGCAAGGGTTGGGCAGGAGCAGGGCCAGGACGAGCACCAGGACTCTCGCACACACACACACACAGCCGCACAGACATAGGCAAATATATAGTGGCTGAGACTTGGGCACATACACATAGAAAAATATGGCACGTACTCCCCGAGAGCCATAAGTTTACGTTTTATATCGGGCAAACTGTGCAATATTATAAATTTTGAATTTTATCTTAGGCATTAGATTGCCAGAGAGTTGCCTGGTTGGTTGCGGAGCTCTCTCTCTCCTCATGAGCTCCCCCAGCACTTTCCCGCCCCTCGCCCGTTAGGGATTAAATGAAGGGACGTGCTCGAAGACGAAAGTAGGAGCTGCCAAAGGGGTGGGCAGGTGGGTAATGGCTGGCAACAAAGGGTGATTATCGTGATTGGCGAAATAGTGGAACTTGAGCTGGTTCAGGTTCTGCTTCTCGGGGTCTCGGGAATATTAATGCCAGGTATCAGGGAACTTTTGTGCGTTGTCGTAACTTCTGAAACTTACCGAGTTCTCTTGTCTTTCTCTTATATTTTTCGCAGGACAGCCGCCAGGATATATGCACGGCAAATGCCGGGAATAAAGACACGTCTTATGTGACAAGTGCAGGCTAAACGTCTGAGGTTATCGCAATCATTTTCGATTCTCTCCCCCCTCGGCTACTCGGTGGAAAAGCAACCACCGAAAAGGAATAAAAGGACACAGGGCGACCGGAAGTGAGGAAATCGCTTGTAAAATCGGGCACACGAGTGCGAGCGAGACACGAGCGAACACGGCCCGAAAGGAAACGACAATTACGAGGACATGCCGGCTTCGCCTTTTGCTGTTTCTATCCGTTCCTTTCAGTTGCGGCCGTGCAATCGTCGGGTCAACAACGCGCCGTGTCCTGTCAGGATCTCTATCTGGAACTTTACCTTTAAAATCACACAGCAGTCGCAGTATCTATATCTGCAACTGCAGTCCTTTTTCGTGTCCTTTATAAGCACTTGCGGATGATGATGACTCTGTGCAACTTCGTATACGTATACTGAATGTATCCTGAGTGTATCCTATCCGGTATACCTTCAGTATACGTAACACGAGGAAACACAAGCAACGCGGGATGTGAAACACTTGAAAAAAATATATGACATTGTGATTTTATATGGATAACACTTTTAGTTTTAAATCTTTTCACTTTGTAAATAAAATGGTTAAATAAAGTCCTGTTTTGGAAATGGTATATAACTCGTGTACGGCTTTTAATGGATGGCTGGGATAAGGTTCCTATTCCGCAACCTGTTGATATCGCCACGCTTTTTGGAACCAGATGGATGAACAGCTGACTTGGACTTTTCCCCCACCAATTACCTAGCAATGATGGATAAGGCGGCAAATTATTCAGAACGAACTAGCATTCCAATTTGTGGATATTTTTAGACTCTAAATTAAATTCCTTATTTATATATGGATAGTAAATGCAATAATTTGTATCTAAACTTTAACAAATAAAGATTAAACGAGATTAACATTATTGTTATCCGAAAGACACTCAATCTTTTCGCCAATTAAGATAAGAAATGAAAACGAAATGTATATAAATGAAATATCTTTTACGAGGCATAAACAAATCTGAACTGTCATAAAATGAATTTTAGTATACACATAAAAAATCTTGAGATAGCCTCATCATGCATTTTTCAACACACAATAAAGACTTTAAGAACAACAAATAATTTAAGAATGACAGGCGATTCGTGTAGCCTTGCAAATATTTAAATGAAAATATTTTGGCTTGATGGATCTTAAAAATAACATTGTTTTTCTGGGTTGCTTATAATTAAGGGTATATGTTTCTATAAATGAATTGTATTATCAAACATTCTCTAAATTGAAGTGCACTCTATAAATTATATAGAATATCTCAGCTATTTTGCCTGAAATAAATATAAAAAACATAAACAAAAATGAAGGTGTTATTTTAGTTTTAGGACAATTTCTAGGAATTTTCTTATCTAGAATTTATTTTTTTTAATTAAGAAATTAATGTTTTTTATTTATTTCCCGATTCTCGTTTCGTTTACTAGCGACATTGCCGGCGAGTGTCTGTAACCCAAGGGGCGCCACCTATAGTTGAGTTTTTACATCATAGTGCGCATATTCGATTTCAAAAGGAAGTCGGGGTTGAAAGGCGATTTCTTATAAGAATTAAAAGGACAAAAAATTCGCAATTTCCAAAATTATAGGCATCATTCTTAGGGAATTTTTATAAATAAATATTACCTCGCTTTGAGGGGTAGTTGAAATTCTAAAAATAAACATTAGAAAGCATATAAAGCTGAGCATTTATTTATACACATTTATTTTGAGTTGTACTCTTATTTTCTTTAGATTTTTTAAAATGAATATGTATGTTTTTTGTAGACAGAGCTACCAAGCCATTGAACCTCAGCTGGCAACTAGCGCTCATACAAAGTATCTCGCAGATACCGAGCGAGGGAGAATGGAGGAGGGGAGCAGAGGACGGAGGAGAAGAAACCACAGCGAAGGAGATAACGAAAGCCGCAACGAAACTGGCTGGGCAACAACAAGCAAATGAATTTATGAGCATGCCCAGAGCTCTTCTTCGCTCTGTCTCTCCGTCTCGCTGTGTCGCCGCATTCTCTCTGCTGCCCCCGGCCCCGGACCAGTCCCGTTGCCATGGCAACAATGGCCGCTGCGAAGGAGCGAGCAAAGCGGAGGCCGAGAACATTTAATTCGGCCATATTTGATTTTGGACATGCTGTCATTGCTCTCGTTCGTTCGGGGTGGGTTTTCGGTTCGCGTTGGTATCTGTCAGTGCGTCTGCTCCGTTTTGGGCGTTTGCCGGCATCTGTATCTATGTATCTGTATCTGTATCTGTATCTGTAGGCTGGTACATATCCGCCGGCAAAGGGAGTATGCTTAACTTTAACCTTTGGCTTTGGGGCACAATCGTGGCATGCAAATCCCTTATTAATTTAACGATCTCCGCCCGCTAAACACGTCTTTAAAAAGAAATAAATCAATTTCACGTCGTCCCCCGCCCAGCATTAATATGCAACGAGAGGCTTATGGGCCTAAATGGCCATCGATTAACTATAAAATTGCCGATTTACGATTGCGCTCATAAAATCTTGATTCGCCCGACTCGAAGTTGGCTTGAATTGGTTCTGCTTTTCGAGAGTTCGGGTCCCCCCCAGCATTATCTATAAATAAGTATTGCTAGTGGAATTTATGGGAGAGTCGAAACCTGTCGAAAATTGATTTACGACCCATGAGTCGACAGCGCTAACGATGCGATCCACCAGAGCCAAGTGAGTAAGATATTGGCGGAGTGTCTCGCAAAATACAGCCCGTCCCATACAGCTGTCCCTAAAAATGATTGAGGCTCCATTAGCCAGCCAGGCGAGCGGGCATAAAATATACCCATTCGTATGTATAATGCCTTCATAACCCAAAGCCGGGATATAATTTACACACACCGCTCGCCAAGTTGGTAAACTAATTCATCGCGAAAGGTGTGAATAAATGTATAGGAGTCGTTAAATAATCGTAAAATAATATTCAGAGCAAATTGTTTGGTCTGGCATGATGATAAAATAAACATAAATTATATGGCTTATCTTAAAATATTTTAGAATATATATATAATTTAATTAAAGCATCATAACAATGCTGTGGAATAATTTAAACATTCTGCCTACCAAAGTTGTTGAACCAAGTTTCAGCGAAAGGTGTGAATAAATATATTTTAGAGTCGTAAAATAATCGTAAAATAATATTCAAAGCAAATCGATAGACATAAAACAAAGGGGGCTAAAAAAATAAAAACAATAGACAAAATATAGCAGTTCAAAAGAATAAATAAATTAAAATTAAATCAACAATAAATATAAAATAATTACAAATTTGTTTGTCAATTACTTTCATACAAATAAAGCTTAGTAAGCTAATAAAGCAACTACTAAGTAGTAAATTGCATTCATAAAATAAACATCAAATAGTTTCCAAAGCAATACTAAGTTATCTAGGAATAATTATGAATTAAATTCCGCAGTCAAGCAATGGCTAATGACATCATTAGCATTTTCTTTCTGGGTCCTAATTAAATGGAATATTAAAATCATTTTAAAGACCTGCTCTAGACATTACAAAACTACATATAACGATGATTTTTTGTGATAATATCCACATAGGTTAGCTATTTTATGATATCTATAAAGCTCTGGCTTGGTTTCCAGCCAGTGATGGCTAATAAACCGATTACATATCTGTTGATTACATCAATTGGCATAACTTACGAGTGCCCCGAGTATCCATCTGCGAGTCCCTGTCCCGCGAAGAACTGCAAAGAAAGAAGAGTTGGCATTAAAAATCTTCGCCTGGCCGTAAAATCATTCGAAATGCCCGATTGTCAATTAATGCCCACTCGCCGGCAATTGCACTTATGTATTGTATGTATATTCCCGCCCGATTTGTCCGACTTTGTCTCGACTTTGGCTGATAAGGCGCAATGAACCCGGGCTCCAATCACTCGAAGGCGGAGATTTTTTGGGCAGCCCCGAGAGAGGGGATGGGTAATTTATGCATTCTTTGTTCTGTCTACATGCCACTCGTGATATTTCATTTAAAAACCGAAAAAACAACAAGACAAACGGCTCAGAAATATGTGTATATATAAACAAACCAGGCAAACGTGCACTTGGCATGACAGGGAAATGGCTTTGGGATTGGGCCTGCGACGGGGACTGGGGTTGGGTCTGGGATTTGCGATTGCCGAGTGACCACAGATTTCGGAATATGTAAATGCAGTCCCCCATCAGACATCTGAAGTCGCCATAAATTAGCAGGCAGCACTGACAGCCGTCATTTTCGAATTCCTGCGGAGAATTTCCGGGGCAGGATGTAGGGGTGACAGAAAATATAGATAGATATGTATTGTATTGAAAATTAATCATCAAACTATTTAATTATTTCTCTGACATTGTAGAAAATACTGTGTTGAAATATAATTTCAGACTTTGCTTCGTTTTATTCACCCTTTTAGGATGCGTCATTGGACTAAAGATTGTATGCTGGCCAAATATCCAAGAATAACCAAGGCACTCGACTCACGTCACGCTGGAAATCGTATATATAGGGGCTTATTTTTTTTTTTGCGACCTCGAAATCATAATTCAGGATTTTATGGCCTTTTAAGTGCCATTAAGTCAACTCTTTCCGAGGCCACTTTCGGTTTTCCTTGAACATTCGCTGCCGGCAATTAAAGATTTTGAAATTGCAACTCTTTGACGCAGCAGCAGCAGCAGCGGAACGGAACGGAGATCCCTGGCGATTTGTGATTTTTTAGATTTTCACTCTATTTGCGGTGCTGCGCCCACACATACAGATACTATGTGCACTAACACAGGCGCGGATTCAAGGCACTGCGGCCATTAAAACTGCTTTATGGTCCCTAAAAACGAAACTAAACGAAAGCGAAAGCGAGGAACATGTGTAGGGGTTTGTATTCCCGTTTTCCCTTTGCCGCTAGCCCTTTTCCTTTTGCCATTTCCACATTTTCTTCGTCCATCCATGCGGCGGAAGGATTAATATTTTTATGGAGCACTTTTCTGGTTGTTTGCTGAATTTTGCAACAAATTGTTTTACGGCCCACCGGCGGGTTCAACTAGAATCTCTAAAGACCCGGGAAGGCAGACTGGAAAATCGGACTATATTAATATTAAATTTTAAAGATTTTGTGATATTTCAGACCCCGAAAAGTTACTAACTTGATACTCCCAGCCTAGCTCAAGTATAAGTAATAATAAATTTACTTAAATACATTTTGAATGAAGATAAGTGTAACATTAAAATGCAGATTGTTATGCAAGCTAGCTTGTAAAACCCAAGAAATAATTCGTAATCCTTTTTCGAGAGCTTTGTCTGTCTGCAAAATGGCCACATTATAAAAATATTTCTATTTTATTCAAATTATTCGGTTGGTGAAACCAGATATGGCGACCTCCCGGCCGAGTGTCAAATCCAATTAAATGCCATAAACAAAAGACAGACATTCTAAAACAATTTGTAGATTACCTGAAGCCATCTCATTAGAAGACGAATTTCAATGTTAAATCTGCGATTTCTATGCGAAATCGATTCTGAAAGTGTGAACGGAACGAGCAAGAATAGCCAGCGAGAAACAAAGGGAATATCAGACTCTCGACGGGTTTTTGGAGCCCGGCTTCTGTTCGTTCACCTGGCTTCGGAGCCCCAATCCCAATCGAAGCCCCCTTTTTACCCCCGATCTGGGATCGCCTCGGGCGACGGGGAACGGCTGCCATTTATGTGCGGTTCGAAAGCGCCTAATGTAAACATTTAATTGCGCCATTAATTGCGCGGTAAGTGTGCCAGATGCACATGCTCGCACTGCCAAGGATGGAGAATGGGGAGTGCTGTGGCATTGCAGGGGCGGTGCCAAGAAAACAAACAAATTCCCTCGGTTTGGTTAAGTGCCCAGCGGTGCACTCGAGAAAACTCACAGACTCCACTCCGCTCCACCCCTCCCCTCGGGCGGACCCTAACCCGCTGACTTTTACGAGCATCGGAGTCTGCCATTAAGGCGCTCCGGGCGCTCCTCTCCGCCCCGCTTTCTCTGGTCCTGATCCTCCATTTCCCCAACTCCATCTTTTTTTACACTGGGAAGAAATAAGCCCTTGTGAAAAGCTTTAAACCATTTTATAATATGTTAAAAAAATATATAAAAATACTTTTTATAAATGGAATATTAAGAGAATTCTTAATTGAAACTCGCAAGAGATGGCTTGCTATTTTTTCAAGTGCATCTTGGCCTCCACCTTGCATCCCCAGTTTCAACTTGCTCGGCAACTTCTGGCGCATTAACTTTGTGTATTTAATGCGGAAAATTATTGTCAATACAATCGACTTTTTACGATGCTTAAGTTGACAGTTTTTCTGTTTCTGTTCCTGGATTATTTGCAGCCCTGCTGGCGTTTCCGCTGAAGCTGAGGCCCCACTGTATTGCCATTTTCATAATTATGATTCAATTAATGAAGAATATAGTAAATCAACGGCAAGTTGAAAGCAAATTCTAGAGAGATTAGCCACAGGTAGATCTTAATTATTATTTAAATGTTTAATAATAATTTACCGAAATAATTAAGAACTTTTTATATATATATATATTATTTCTTTAAGTATTTATATATTTTATAAAGAATTTTCAATTCTGTGTCAGATGTCATCTCTCCGTTTTCAATTTATTTTTAACAAGCTAATTATTTATACCCTCATTACAATAAAAGCTTTAAAATATCATTTTAAAAGTAGCTTTTAAGATAAAACCCTGAAAACACAGTATCCACCAGGCAGGTGTAAAGTCCTCAAGGTACAATTTTTGCGTTCAGATCGAGTCCGATTATAGTGACTTCCATTTGCCAAAAATGAAACAACACACGACGCGCCGCCTGGCGCCATTAACTTAATCGAACGGAAAACCAAACAAAAGCCGCAATTAACATTAAGCCCTTCGCAGTCTGGCTTGGGTTTTGGGTTCGGGCTTTCGGGTACCAGGGTTCAGTTCTGCCTTCGATGATAGCTCTGCTTTAGAGAACCTGCACAGCCCATGGGAATGTGGTTGACTCTCCGGCAAGGCGGCGGGTGCGTGTGTGTTTGCTAATTTGAAATTCTGTGGCGTAAGCAGGGGAACCCGATGTAGAACTCGAGCAGCCCTGTCCTCTTACAAGCCGGGGCTACATTAAATTTTAGAAAACACAAAATGCCGCTTTCCGTGTTCCCTTGGCTGGTTGGCAAACAATTTCCCATAAATTTACGTTGAATTACAGCCAACAATGTGTGTGTACAAATGCACCGGGGAGTGGCGAACTTGTGACTCTGGCCCGTGTTCTGCCATCTTTTTGGCAAGCATGAAAATGTATTCCAGACACGCATCGGGCCATTTTGCAAACGTGCCACCGAATGAGGCTCAACTTTGGGATCTCCTCATCCCCATCCGCTCCTGTTACAGCTACAGCTACTGCTCCTGCTCCTGCTCATGTCCCCCAAAAGTAACCACAACGACATCCGCCCACCCGCTCAGAGGACCTCGAATATGCGGACTCGGATCCGGCAACTTTCCGGCTGACTTTGCTTTTATTTTTTTGGCCCAGCTCTAGAGCCTTTGGCCCCCAGCGTCCCCGGCATCAAATCACGAACGGAAAGAAGGACAAACTTTCCGGTTTCTCTTTTTCTTTTTTGCCTAAAATAAGTAAAGTTTGAATTTGGCAAACATAAATTACATCTGTGTGGAGGGGGGAACAGTGCTGCACAGAAATGAGAACTATACAATATTTACAAAATATATTTAAAAATATATGTATATAAATATATAACTCATAATTAATAAATAATAATAAACAAATGATAAGTAAAAGTTAAAGCTACACAAAAAATATGGGAAAATATCTGCTATTTACTTTATGAATAATGTGTCATCATTAAGTAAAATTTAGGTCAAGGACCTTATTGATTAAGTACAAATATTAGTAAGGCATCTTGTAAATATCTTCCCCTCAAAAATGAAGAAAGAACAAATTGCCAACACTTGATGCCATGGATGCCAATGTTTCCCGGAGGGCACGAACATAGTTTTCCATATTTTTTATGGCTCCGCACATTTTTTTTTTTTACATTTTATAATCGCCGCCGTTGCAAAATATATGAAATAAATAAATAATAAAATACACAACGAACCAGGAGTGGGTGCGGCCCCAGAAATGCCATTTGCTTGCCTCCCGAAACTTTTTTGCTCTTATTGCAGCTGTCGGACTGGAGATACTTTGCGTTGGTAACTTATGGATACGAGGCCAAAGGAGCAGAAGGACCGAAGGGAGCCCAGGCTCAGGCAAGGTGAGCAAATTGCCAAACGAGGGATGCGGACCAGGACGAGGACGAGGTGGCTGCCCACCTTGGGAAGCTGGCGTGTAATTTGTATCTAATCTTGCCTCATGTTTATATAAAAGCAACGACAGCAGAGGGGGAAACTATTTGCTCCACACAATTTCTGCAATATGGCGATGGCTGAATGGCTCTGCCAGGAGGGTGAATCCTCGTCCTTGTCCAAGTTCGGGGAGCTGCGAGTCTAAGTGGAAGCACATACATATATTCATGGCAGCTCCAAGGAGCCAACCGACATCGACGGGCGGGTGGGTTTTTGGAATTTTAATAAAATTGCTGCATTGCCAACTAAAGATAGATACTTTTCGTGTAATTTACGATGATGGCAGAGCAGCAATGATGGCGAACGATAGCGAAACGACAACGGGAAAACTATTCCAGGGAGTG